CCTCCGGGAAATTGCGGGCCAGGCGTCGATGGCATGGTGTTCACCGGCGGGGCCTTGAGCGGGGACGGGTGGGCCTGGCCATCAGAGTTCGCAGGGGCGAAGGTGGTAGAGTCGAAAGCGGGTGCGAGGGCTGAGGCGGACATTTTCGAGGAGGGGCGAGATAAATGTGGGGTGTGAGAAAAGGAGGAAGAATGATATGAGCCGTGTGGGTGGGCGCTTTATACTGGAGATGGGCGAGGCTAAGCAACTCCGGTGCATATGCGTGTGGAAGTATGTGCACGAGCACATACACTGCATAGAACAGTGCCCCCTCCCTCCGCCTAGCAAGGTGGTGCGACCAGGGATGTTGGGAATTGATAACTAGAAGTTGAAAGTGGGAAGAAGGTATTAGTTTGAGACCCCCGACAGCAGGCAGAGTAAGACGTACCTGGCCATCTAAATGTGCGCAACTTGCGTGCCTCCTGGATGTAATGCAGAGCGCGGCGGTGTGAGGCAAGTGGGGGCCACGTCACACAAGCATAGTGGTGGTTGTCGGCTGCCCAGAGGGAAAAAAAGGTTCAGGGAAATCAATAGAGAAGGCCCGGTGCATGGTGGAAGGGCTCGGGATGGCTTGGACTGAGTTCTGCGCGGAAAGTCGCGTCGACATGGTGGAAGTAAGCAAAGAAGTGTTTTGACGTGATTGTTGATGGCTTCACCCGCCTTCCCGCCGTTCTCACCAATTGGTGCATTCGGTGGGGCTCTTTCGCACTTTGAAGCCCGTAGATCGACTTGGAACATCTTTGGGATGAACGATAATTTTTTTCGGGAGGCAAAAACGTGAGAGACGCGTGAAATGATTATATTTGGTGAGAAAGTACATTTGGCAGGCGTAAGTCGCGTAAGGACTTACGCCCGGGAAATTTACGATCTTTACTGGAAAGATCGTAAATCTGCCGCACGTGGGCGGTCCAGGGAGGTCCAGGGCCTGCCATATGCAGCAAATCCATCAGTTTCGCTTAGCGGCTGATCTGGATTTACTTACCGCCCTTTACGCGTCGTTTTCGTTTCACTTGGAGAAAGGACGCGTTCTGAGGAACGTAAACTGATTGGTATGTATCATAAATTATATTAGACTTGAAAAACACGCCTCAGAGTTCCGCTTTCCAGCATAATAACACAGACTTTGAAGAATTGACACGCTGATACATGGGTGTCAGTTCCCGTTCCTGACGCTGAGTTCAACGCTTCCTTGGCTCCGAAAGCCGTCGTAATTAAATACCGTCTGGACTTCCCCCCCTTTTCAAGCGCTGAACCTCCAATGAAGGCTATTCCCAGAGTATGTGACAACCGGCCATTTAATTCCAAGTTGTCGAGATAATTCAAACCTGAGATGCGAAATTGACTGTCACCTTAGGATGTACCTTAAGCCCATCCTTCACAACTGAAATTATCTTATACTTGAGCCTACAGGCGGAGCCTTCCTGCTTTGATGATTATAATTTATGAATTGTTGATGCCGAGTCTGCATTGTCCAGGCAGGGGCATTGGGGATTTCAAAGAGCTTCTAATGGGTATACTGAAATGACATTCCTTCAACATACACATACTATGAAGCGTGGGGCTCAGCAGGGAATATTGCATTCAGGTACACAGTGGGGAGGTTGATATCTGATTTCATTTGTGTTTCATATCCTATTTGTGCATTGAAAAAAATTCTTCCGGGTCTTGGATACAGCGGAGAAGTCTCAAGTAACCCATATTAGTGTGAAATGTGCAAGGTGATAGATAATATACAGTGGCCCAGAAGGATCCATTTGAAGGGTCCCTTTAAATGACCTGAACACTCAAGGTTCGAACCATCTGGTGATGTGTTTCCACTTTGAAGTTTTCAGTTGCTTTCGGGCAACAATGCCACACCTATTCAAGCATTATATGAGTTTTGGGAGTCTTTCAGCAAGACAAATGATTAAATGTCCAAAATTCCTTGAAAGGTATCTCTGATCCTTCTGCAGGGAATTAAGAAGTGTGGAGACACATCTATGAGGATAAATTCAATGAAGATGTATATCAATTGAATCAATTTGTGCTCCCCGTAATTTCCTCGACACTACTGGGCATAGGTGTGAGGCATACAGTCTGCTGGTCAAGCATCTTCTTTGTATGAGGATAGGGAGCACATTTCTTCGGATAGAAGCATTGCTAACAGTGTCAATTTGCTTGGAAACATATTCAAGCGAAGTATGCAGGATTCAGTCGCGTCAGAAAAATCTTTTGCTGGAGATAACACGTGAGTTTCCACGGCACCCCCATCTTCTGCTTAATCCTGCCGCGAAAATAAACAGGGAAAATATCTTTCTTGCTCACATATCCTCATATATATTTCTTGGGCTTCATTGGAGACAGCAGGTGGTAGGTAAGAGGACCTCAGTGGGCGCAAACGGCGCGAAAGGTGTACACGGTACGGGCAAGCTTCCCAATCTGGAAACGAGCCAAGTGATGAACCGCCTCGGGTATCACCGCTTCACCGCCACTATTTACCGTGATGTGACGATCAATTTACTCATAACCGTAAATATAAATTTATAAAGAGACTTATGTCTGACTTTGTTCAACGTTTAGCTAGTAGAAGCAATTATGCCGACAGCGACGGCAGTATCAAGTCTTCTCCTAAACTAACGTCCATTTAGACACATGTATTTTTTTGCTCTTGGATTTCAACAGTGGAAGTGAGTTGTAATGACATTATGAGCCACAACTTCGTCAATTTGACATGGTTCAAAAGTCAATGCAGCATATGGCTTAGTTTATTTCTCTGTTCACCACCCTGCTTGCCTCAGAAACGCTGACAGACTTGTGATTACAGCCAAATCCATGCCCACGCCCGAAACAAGCCAATCTACGCGAGCGCAAGCCAAAAAGCTAACTCTTTGATGGCATCGGGCAAAATGGCTTGTGATGCCATTGGACATGTTCGAATTCCTGGATGCGAGTCTAGTTCACCAACAACACCCTGCTGCATAGTATGATCAAGTAAATTGGAGGTAACTACTATCCCGTTGATGGTATAATGGCCTGAATCCCTCGAGTTTTCGTCGCAAGCCGCACCCACACCCATTTTGATGGCATCAGGCAGAATGGCTTGCGCACGCCACTTGCTTGCCATTGGGAAATACACATTTCCCGGGACATCTCAGCACTGAAAATATCATAGATCATTCAACTGTGGACATTCGGTGGGTATGGGGTCAAAATATTGAGTGTTCAGGTGCATTGAAGTCAACGTTAACACAGACTCGGGGACTTGGTTCAACTGATGTGACTGGACGAGGGCTACAGCCCGGATTGACTGTCCGGAAATCACAGGGCTATCTCAACCCTCTTTGTGAAGGATTCTGGCCGGATTTCAGTTGCAGGTGTGGAAAGACTTGCAAAGTTCAAAAATCAGCGAAGTTGAACTGTGAATATCTTTGTGTCATGGACACTTCCTCTTATATTTTCAATGCGGGTGGATAGTAGGAAGCACAGCCTATTGTTAAAGTCTCACAAGCCAGCTGGCTTGCATGTGGGTATGGCTTTTCGTCATCACTGTTCACGGCAATGACGAGTGTATTAACATTTTGAGAGAATATGTGCCCTAGGCACCTGCAGGGCACATATAACGATGTAGTTGCAACATAAAATCTAACATTAAAGCCTTAGGTGATGTACGGTGAGCGCAAGCCACTTTGAGCAAAGTGGCGGGCCAAGCCGAAATGCCGGGCGTGGGCTTGTGATTACAGCCAAATCCACGCCCATGCCTGAAACAAGCCATTCTGGGTGGGCGCAAGCCACTTTGGCAAGCTAAAAAGTTAACTCTCAATAATCATTTGTGGGTTTCCCTAATCTGACTGCTTTTTAGTTGAATGTGGAACAGGTTCCGCACATCAGTGATTTTTCCAATTCCCAATCCTGATGCTCATCGCCACAACTCCCAGCACTCGTCTGGGCGTGTCGTAGCTCCGAGTGCCAGCGAAGAGTAACCACCAATCGACCATCAGGAAGACGAGCACGATGATGTGCAGCATGAGAAAGAGGGTCAAACGTCGCGAACAGGCGACGAAGCCAGCGGACCGGTACGTAGAACCATTCTATGTTCATACACCCACTTAGACGCAAGTCAGCGACGCCTGCGCTCCCACGGGGCCAATGTTTCATTCACCACTTCGACCAGTGACACCGCTCCATCTGCCGCCAAATGCAAGTCAACTTTGACCGCAGCCACACCAGCACCCAAGCCCAAACGGCGCAAAGCAGGGGACCCGCTTGCTGGCTGGGCCATCGAACTGGTTTCTGGTGACAAGACGACGGCGGTCAGCCCCCGGGAGTATGCTCAAAAGGAGCCGGAGGAATTTGCAGCGCAGTATCCACAATATGTCAAATTTCTGTAATACTTTACAATGCGAGGACCATTTCTGTCCCACAGCTCCCCTATCTGCAGTGGTTTTTTGCTTTCAACACCATTGTCTGAGTGTGGTTGAGGCAGGAATTGTTTGGAACCTGTTGTGAAATGAGGTGTTTTGGCCATTGACAAGCATGTTCTAATGATACCAAAACTTTGTGAATCTGACCATTGGAAGTTGAGGATTCAAATGTGCAAAAATCAAGAAAAGTCACCACAGGCACCAACTATTTTGAAAATAGCAATAAGGGAAAAGGGAAGGGATACAGTAAAAGGATTGTGGTGGGCAACACTGGATGGGGACATTAGCTGAGCTTTCAAAGTACTTATTTGTGCCCATTGGTGAATGAATGGAATGAGGTTTCATTTTGTTATATAGAAAAAGCCCTTGATGCTGGCAGAAAGCATGTGGGTCTTACTAGGTGGCAACCAAGATCTTGAGATGGTGGGCGGTTTTGCCATGGCTTTGCAATGGGCAAACAGGCAGAAATTTGGTGGGGAGAGAGACAGTGATGGCAGTTTTCTCCCGAATTCAAGGATTCAGTGGGCAGATGTGATAGCCTGTCGAAAGCTATGTTATAACGGGCACATGGTGTAGTTGGTTATCACGCTCGCTTAGCAGTTGGATCAACAGGGAACAACATGTTTGCGAGAGGTGTTGGGTTCAATTCCCAATGTGTCCAGTTTTGGCCCTTTTTGCACTTTTTAATGTCACATGATAAAGCTGCGAGAGGTTGGTGTGGCTTTTGATTCATACACCAAGTCCTCTTCGCTGAGGTGAAGTGCCTTTAGCACAGATTTTATTATCCCCACCCCCCTACCATCCCGGACAAACCCGGAACTTGGACAAACAAACATTTATCATCCAATATTGGACCATTTCCTGAGTTTTTTGGCTTGAAGTAGAGTTGGGAGGCACCCTAGGATGAAGAACCCTTGCAATTTCATGTCCTTGGAATATATATCACTGCGAAAAGTTGACAACTTCTGTGATTTTCGCTCATTTTACGTATTTTAAGGCTTGGTGCCATCTCCTGAGAGTCATATTATTTCATGAACACATCCACAGAATACTTTGACATCGCGAGAGTGCCCATGTAAAAATTCAGAGGTATAGCTGTCTCGTAGCCTTCAGAGTGGACGGAAAGATCACGCCATGCCTGCCAAATTGATCTCCCAACTGCGAAAAATGATGGCAAGAATTTCATTCTGCCTGTCGACCACTCTGAGGTTGTTTTGACTTACCCTTCATGGATACTATATTCCCATTGAGGTGCTCCACCCTATGAAGTTTGGAGGCGCCACGACCACAAGGGGGTCATATATGAGGCCGGGAATCAGAATTTGACGTGTTACCTAGAACTCGGACACCTGACCACCTCCGAAAAAGCGACGCTGTTTGCCCAATTCTTGCTTGTTTCTCATAAAGTAAAATTCGAGGCCTGGGAAAAAGACAAATTGCCGGCGATCTAGCTACTCAGCTTGAGCCCAGAACTATTGCATAACATGATATGTGCCAATTTTTTTTAGGTGTCCGAGATCTAGGGGGGGATAGTATGACTACTCTGGTTCCAGAGATAGAAGATATTATACAGCAGTGGACAAGTTGTGTTCTCAAACCCTACTGGAAGTACTATGAGCAGATTTCAGCCTATGACCTGGCCCTGAATCCAATGGGATTCCATTGAACTATCAAAATCCGAATTGTGGTTGGTGCGGACAATCCACTACCAGAGCCTCCCAAAATGGAATAATTAATTAAATAAATCCGGTAATGAATCGTTTTAAACCCATGAATGGGCATCTGGTGCCTGAACGCTCCTAACTTTACAATTCCTTGTAAATTTCTATGTGTAAACCATTTGCTCGGGAGATCCCATTTGACTCGACGTCTCCAACTTCTCGTCGATTAGCTAACGGAATTTGAAACCTGTCCGGGAATTTTCCTATTGGCTCGGCATTTTCCGGGCCAATGGGAAAGTTCCCAGACTCGTTTCAGATAGCACATCAGTCGCACTGAAGTTAGTAAATGGCCAGTGCGAGGGAATACATAAATATATTTGGCAAACCTGTTCGAGTCGGATTGACACCAAGGTTTCTGACTTGGTGCTTCGGCTGCTTCAGGGTTGCTCTGGACCTTCGAGAACATAAAAAAATTCCTTGTAGGCTTCCTTTTCCGCGAAATGACAAGTCTGATATGTTTTACATCTAGGCGGCAAGCGAGGCGAGTTGGCCGAGGAATGACACACCGGGAATCCACGAATCTCGTCCCAGCAGAAGTTGATTACGATTTGTTAAGTTTCATATCAGAAATCGGCGTTGACTCGAAACCTGGAGTTTCGATTGGTTTCGGTGCCCGAATTGCTTCGGGGTTGCTATACATGGCAACCCCGAAGCATTTCGAATGCGGCTTCGCTCCCATTTCTGGTGAGTCGATTCGCGATACGATACTTTCCAAATCGTAATCAACTTCCGAGGGCCCGAAATTTGCAAAGTCCCGGTGTGTGAGGCCAGATGAGACTTGCGAGCAGGCCATCTTTCCCTCTCAGGTCTATTTCAATTGTAGCGGCGCTGGTCATCCCCGGTTTTCCGGGTAACCCTCCCCCGACATTCGGAGGTATGCGAGGCGCGGGGAACCGGTGGACGTAGATCTAGAATATTTCTCGGCGCACTTACTTTTCGGGGACTCGGTTACTGCAGTATATTACCTGTGCCACGTCGATACCCGTGCTTGTCTTCTGAACGCCGTTTACTCTGCCCGTTACACTTGTTTCCGTTCCGGAACATCCCGCACTGTGACATGATTATCATGTGGTAGAGATCCATACCAGGAGCGCGTATACGGAACATACCCGGCTATCACCGATAGCATTTTGGGTCCTGTGGTCAACGCCGATCAAATATGCTGGTTACGGCTTGAATATAGGTCTACTAATCTAACGATTGGAGCGGGGTTATAATATCGGCGGTAAAACAGGGGTCAAGGCACGGGGGCAAAGGGCAAAGGTAGTATGACCCCTGTTTATCCCATGGAATGCCAGGTCAAAAATTTCCCGGATCGCCAATTTTTGTCCGCGTAAGTTTTAGTCTGAACTGGGGCATTTTTGTACCGTGGGAACAGCCTGTGTGATAGTGATAATATTGTCATATACAAAGTGCCGGACCGAATTAGTGGTTCGCGGGGAGAGGTCCAAGGTGGAAGTGAGGATGTTCGGAGGTCACAGTTTTTGCGGAAGAGCAGGGATGGAGATCCGAGATGGCGGGTCACGGAATTGAGTATCAGATGTAATGGTTTCCTACGTTCAGCTTCTTCTTGACAAAAGGCGCCATGCATCAGTACTTGACGGCCCCGCAAGGGACCGGAATCGAACGGGAGCCCCACTGTAAGTTGTGAGAGCGGCGTGTTCTGGGGGTGCGGACCATCCGTTCCCGGGCCTTGGAAGTGTATTGTGAGATCGGGCGAACGAGTCTGAGACAAAAGGGCCTAATCCCATCGAACTGGCGTTGAGTACGAGACCTTCTGTGAATCGAATTTCGCATAAATCAGGTTTCCTGGACTGTGAAATCAGGCGAGGTGAGGTGCAAGAAGTTACACGATACGGATACGTGAAATAGAAACGTACCCCTCATGCCTGTCAAACGGGGTCTCACTGTCAAACTAGAGGGAGCGATTACGGTGGGTGAATACGGACCATCCACAACCAGAGTTCCCCGTCCCTGTCGGAAACCTCGTCAGGTGAATTTATGAGCGGTGAAACGCACATAGAAAACTCAGCCAGGTCAATCTTCTCCCCGTTCGTGCCTTTTTTTGCAATCATCGGCAATTCAATTTCATCGTACTGTATGAAGAATGAGACTGGGTTGTGCGAGAAAATTGTGCAAAGAAAGCACGCACTGAGCGCTTACGGAAACCTCGTCAGGTGAGATGGAATTTATGAGCGGTGAAACGCACATAGAAAAGTTTGTAGGGTCAATCTTCTCCCCGTTCGTGCCTTTTTTGCACTCATCGGTTTCATCGTACTGTATGAAGAATGAGACTGGGTTGTGCGAGAAACTTGTGCAAATCAGCACGCAAACGCTTGCAGCCTGATCCCGAATCGAACGGGAGTCAGACAGATCACACGAATCTGTTGTGGACGCGGACCATCCGCAATCAGGCCTCATTGTGTCTGTTGAAGACACTGCTGGCTGGTACCTGACCGGTGAAGGGAGAAATACTATAGACTGGAAATTCGCCGTCGATGATTGTGGGCAGAACCGTCCATCTCTTGCTCCCGAAGAGAGGCCAAGGCCAAAAATGTGACTCGGTTTCTTTTACCGGCCCAGTCCCGAATCAAACGGGTATCCCACTGGAACTGGGAGACATTCGCGATGTTTGGTGGGTGTGGACCATCCGCAACCGGGCCTTGAAACGGCATCTGAGGACGTCGTGAGATGGCGTGGAATTGAGGGCGGGCGTACATTCGTGTGCACAGTCGTGAATCGTGAACGCGCGGACATTGCGAAGGGATATGAGGGAAAGGCCCTCGAAAGACGTGCCAAATAAATCCCTCTGCTCAGGAAAAGACGTGGGCGCTCTTCCGGAATTCTCTCAAGTGAGGACGAGATCTCGCGTGTATGTATCCCGGAGCCAGATCGAGAGGATTTCGAGTGGCAGTGAATGTGAAATCCGGTGGGTTGAGATATCATAAAGAGTCACGGATACGTGAAAGAGAAAAAGCGTACCGTCGGTCGCTATGCCTGGATCCCGAATCGAACGGGTGCCATCATCACAGATAATGTTGGGTGGGTGCGGAACATCCGCTACCAGGCCTTCTACCATTCGGCTGCCGTGTTACATGGGATGGTATTTTGGGATGCGCGATCTAAGTTGCGAAGGGTATCGTTTTTTCGAGTAAGTTTGGCAGGGAAACGTATGGTCCTACGGTAAAACCTGGACTTGAAAAATGTTAGCCCCATGAATGACCCCGGTGTAAAAAGGTTATCGATGTCGGCCTGACGGCCCAGTCCCCAATCGAACGGGAGTCCCACTCCACGCTGCGAAAGTCACTTGTTGAGTGGGTGCGGACCATCCGCAACCGGGCGTTCTTGGTCTGGGATCGAATTGGCGAGGGACGGCAAGCGATAAATGCAATTGGGTGGGGGAAGGCATGAATGATTTACCAAAAAACTCCGCTCGAGGGGCTTCCAAAATACAATTGCGACGGCCACTATACAGCCCAGTCCCGAATCGAACGGGAGTCCCACTGTGGATCAATGCGAGAGGTAGATGTTCTATGGTGCAGACCATCCGCAACCGTGTATCTGGGAACCGCGTGAGATGGGGTCGAATTGAGGGGGGAAATTTATCCTCGTCATGAATCCTGAACGGTTGAACATTGGGAGTAAGTAAACGTGTGGAGAAGGCCCTAGAAACAATGATGTCCAACGAATTCAAAACGAATTCCTCTGCTCAAGAAAAACTGGTATCCGTTGTGTATCCGAGAACCAGATCGAGAGGATGTGGAGTGACGGTGAATCTGAAATCCAGTGGGTTGATGCGCGAGAAGATAGTGCATGAAGAAAAAGAAGGCGCACTACTTATATTGGAGGCTTTGCATGCTTAGACCCTAAATCAAACGTGGGCCCCACTGGCAATATCTTTGAAATACGACAACGTGGGACCGAGCTCTCTTTCAAGTCC